GAGGACGTCAGGAAGGTTCACAAGCATGATCACATAGCCGCCCTGCGAGTTGCCGTCAGGTCCTGAACCAAATCTGGTTGTATGCGAGCCCGACATCTTTGTTCTCTTTGCAGAACTTGAGAAGGCGGTTGCGCTCATGAAGGGTCTGAACGGTGGCCTGGTTGACCTGGCTTGACAGCATGGATGTAGAGCGCTGCAAGTGTGGTGACGGGCCATTGAGCTGATCAGGAGGCCTCGAAGCTGTGTGATCTCTCGCTCATTGAGGTTCTCTGACATGGCCCTGCCTTTGTTGAAGGTGATGGGACTGACTTTCCCCAAAGGACTGACATCACCTTTCCGACAGCACTGAAGACACTTCCATGCAGCGGCTCTTCGAGCTTCAGTTGCGCGACTACAGGCCATGCCAGCAAGCAGGAGCTGACTCGACTACTTGCAGCTCACGGCTCCGTCAATGCAGCGACTTTGAATGGCCTCGAGACAATGGTATGTGGCTCGCGCCAAAGGACTATAAGCCGCCCGCTTCGCCACGGCCTGCGTCAGTTCCCAACTTTCTTGTCAGGCGCCAACCATGCTGACCTGGGCATGGTCGACCTTTGCGACAGCCTTCCAACAGGCCATCCGCCTCCACAGCAGGAACAGCGAGCGCGTTCTTGAGTGCTTCCGACGTGCCTGGCTTACACCGTTCGGCTTCCCTCTGGTTTGTGAAGTTGATGCCGATGGAGCTTTTCGCAGCACCTTGGAGGAAAACGGTGTTCATGTGCCCACAATACCTCCTGAAGCCCGCTGGAGGATTGGAGCGGTGGAAAGGCGCATCTCTGCATTTTGGCGATGGTCAAAGAAGTCTGGTGGAATGAAACGTGGCGGCTATGTACTTGGCCGGATGCTCATCCACGACCCAGACACCAAGAGCGCTTGGTTGCAGGCCGGTGGCGCCACCGTGCAGGTCACCTATGAACAGCTGAGGCCCACGTATGGACTGGAAAGCTGGACACCCAGCGCCAAAGATGTGAAGGCCCTGAAGAACGCTGGGAAGACCCTGGTCGATGGCTTGTGGCAAGACCAACGCGGACCCGGACCTCCTCAAGAAGAGCCAATGGAGCCTGATGTGACAATGCCTGACGCTCAGGTTGATGATACACTGGACATCCCAACAGGCTGAACAGGCACCACTTCTTGGAGTACCACCACAACTGGCGCTGGCTCCACTTCCATTACCTTCACATCATGAACCACAACCGCCTCAACAACCACAAACACACGTTTCTCACCTACATACAAGCAAAACATCAGGCAGAACATCCACCAGCACTTCGGCGCCGAGCCTCCAGAACGCAATGTAAGGCCTCGGACAGACAGCCTGACACGGGATATGGTTCCTTTCCCTCAGGCAGAAGCAAACATGCGAGAACATGCACGGCAGCAGCGGACAACAGCGCAAGAAGACATACAACGATACATGCTTCAGCAACAGCAACAACAGGCACCTGGCTATGTACCATAACAGCCAGTACCTTATGGAGCACCAGCCTCAGGAGATCATGAACTGATCCCTACATCACCTGCAATGTCCACTGCAACCGAACATGAACAAGCATCACAAGCAGTAGCAGCAACAGCAACAGCAGATGGAGGACACGAGAATGCCTCATCAGTCTCACTCATTACCAAGCACACAGAGGCGATACTTCACCTTCATCGTCCAGGATGTGCCACAGGAGCCCTACTACAACCCTGATATGAAGGTGATCAGGAGCAGCTGGGATGGCAATACCTCTCCCGTCGCGCCTTACAGCTCACACATGTGGCGCGTGGCAGCCGCCAAAGTCGAGGTGAAGGAGATTGAGACTGATTCCTCCTCATCCGATGAAGATGGCAACAACCGCAAGAAGGAGCCTACCATGGCCACTCTCAGCCGCCAGGAGAGGAAAGCTCTTGACCGAGAGATTCCCTGGCGCTAAAGACGTACATTCTGGCCAAAAAGAGTACCAAAGCTGGCTTGCATGGGGCTGCATCACTCCAGTCGAAAAAGAGATCACGTTGATCAAGAAGACGCCCTCCACGCGCAAGCGCATTGTGCCCTCTCGCAACGCCTACCGCGACAAGCTGCGAGGCGCTGGACCTAGAATCAAGGCCAAAGGCCGGACGGTCATTTTGGGATGTTTGGATCCCGACCTTGCTCTACTCAACAGGGCAAGTCCTACACCATCCAAGCTTGCTGAACTTGTTCTACTACAACTGGCCACAGCTGGTTTCTCTGGCCTGGTCGAGTGCACTAGCAAGCATTGTCACCGCTCCACCGCCTTTCTCCAAGGCGCTTCCAGAGCAGCGAGATCAGCCAATTTGGATGCGTCCACCTCGTGACGGCGTACGAGCCCTGGCTCGCACCTTTCCCCACGACCTGTACAAGGTGAATGGCAACCTGTACGTCAAGCGTGGTGAGGCCGGCTACTTGTTGGCCGTCATGATAGTCCACGTGGACGACTTCTTGGTGACGTTCCGGGAGGATTACCTGATTACCCCCTCTCCGAGCTCGAAGAGATGTTCATCTGGGGTTCAAAGACCCTTTTGGATGAGACCAACCACATTGTCTTCCGTGGGAAGGAGATTTGCGTGATCAAGGTCAACGGGAAGATCCTGCTCAAGGCCGACTTCAGGCCGAATGCTTCAATGAAGAGGAGAAGCGGGAGTTCCGCTCGGTGGCAGGGTCATTCCAATGGCTCGGAGGTCAAACCAGACCCAACCTCTGTTCAGCTGTGAGCTTGGCAAACCGCGGCTCCGAGACCAAGCCCTCCGACCTTCGGGACATGTATGAGTACATCACCCTGGCAAAGCAGCCGCCCGGTCGCCTTTGACAAGGCTGCAATGCTGATGGGGTATGGAGACTCTTCATGTGGCAGATGGGAAGTCTTGCGCTCGTCGGCTCACCCAAAGTGCAGCAGAAGGTGAGCATCTTGGATTGGAAGAGCGCTCGCTCACCTCGGGTCACCAGATCCACCCTGGCCTCGGAGGCCAATGCGATGGATGAGGCGGTGGACACAGATGCACTTGCTCTACAGACACCCCCGGCGGTCCCCGAGATCCTGGACGTGCTCTCCGCCAGCTGCAGTGTACAGACTGCAAGTCACTGGTTTCGACCAACTTGTCGACGACCGAGAAGCGGACGATGATCGCTATCCGGTCGGTTCAGGATTACATCGTCGACGACGATTGTCGGTGGGTGCCCACTGAATTCATGTGGGCTGACTGCTTGACAAAGCAGGACAAGCAGCTCTGTTTGGCATTCCAGAGCTGACTGGAGCACCCGTATGTGGCATTGGTTGAGGAAAGAGAAAAACACCAGTGTGTGAAAATCCGACTGTTGTTCTCTTGGGTGCTTTTGACCAGGAGTTGCATGGTTCCCCAACCACTTTGCCCCCTGTTGCACTGTGGCCCAACTTCAAGCGGGCTGCTTGAGTCGATTTACCTTTCGACGCCGCTGCGACGGCATGGCATGAGCGTCAAAAGCCTGCGGCTTTGCATTCGATAGCGCTGCACTTCCTTCGGTCGTTTGAGAGCTTCCCCTTTCACGAGAGATACAACATAGTGACAGACTGAACAACAACAGATCTTATATATGCATGTGTTTCAATGCTCCCAAACCATTCGTTCGCCAGTAAAAACCAACAAGTTTTTTTGGGCTTCCACTATGAGCAAACCTTGTTGGGATAGGCCTGTCAGAACACATGTGTTCACTCCTCCTTCGCTTTTGACTGCTTCGAGTTCCGCAGAAAAACTGTGAAGTGAGTATGACGTGGAAAGTGGTTCGTCGTGAAGATCTCTGAGGAGGCGGCAAGCCCGACTGTTCCGGGACAGATTCAATCCTGAATTCTTTCATTTGCGTCCAACTCTCAGCTGCTTTCTGCTATAGGTCAATTCTTGACAGAGTGTCGTCTTCAATCAACCTCTTGCGAACCACTTACACGTTGACATGTTTGGGTTTCCTAGGTCCGTCTCTCCCCGGTGGACCTGAAGCTGATGCAGTTGCGAAGAAATGATGCTAAAGGTAGCAGAGACGGATACAGGATAGCTTTGGTTTGATTGCACAGGTATCTTCACATATTGACCATACTAGGAAGAGAGAATGACCCAGACATGAATTGCAAGTGTGCAAGCGAAAAGACAGCGCCCAACGGCCCAACAAGGAAGCTGAACACTATTCCAGGTTTCTAGCTAGACAATAGAGGCAATACTTTAGTCTCAACGAAAAAAACAGTGGTTTTGCACATGTTGTATGGCATGTCTTAGTTTTGACTCGACACAATTTTGGTTCAAAACACCGTGATTGTGAAATCGTTCGAAGCCTCTCACTCATCCGCATCCCTTTTGGATCTCTTTGGGTTGGAAATTTGCTGACAGAGCTTTGTGGCTTTAGCCCCGTCTTAAGTGTCGGGTAAAAACTGAGAAATTGTTGTCAATTTTTCTACAGAACCATAGTTTCAATGAACTTTTGCATCCAGCCTGCTCATTCCAGGCTCACTGCAAATGGTTTTAAGGCTGCAAGAAACTGACTATAAAGGCTTGTTATATCTACATAATGGTTTCACTGAGGTTGGCCCTTGGCTCTATTGTCATTTTGTGTAGTATCCACAGTATCAAGCAAGGATCGATGCAACCAGTTGTTGAAAGCTGTGCCGTCCTTCACATGGAATGGAGGAGAAGGATTTGTCGTTGAAAGATGCAGGGAAACAGCTGTTGATTTTCTGGGGCCCTAGATTCTCAGTTGGAAGATTCAGGTCTTAAATGCCACACTCTTGCAATGCTCCTGCCAATCACTTGATCCCTGCTCAAGCTTGTCTTTGTTGCGTGGAGTACTAGAAGGCACATTACGTAGCCTGAACATAGGGACCCTCCCACATGACGATTTCAGCAGGTTTAGAGTCCAAGACTGTCCAAGACTGTCCAAGACTGTTGTGGTTCGGTGTTATTGTATTAAAGGTACTCTAGCATTCTTTGCACTTGAAGTTGACTTGAAGTCCAAGAGAAGCTCCCCTTGGTGCATGAGCTGCGCATGAGCCTCTCTGGGTGCTCCATGAGAGAAACAGCTGAAGCAGCTGAAAGTCGTATTCAAGAGCTGCTGCGCTTGATTGAAAACACCGAAGAGAGGAATGCGAGTGCCAGAGCTGCAGCCGAGCGCTGGAGGCAAATTGCCCTCAACTTGTCGATTGGCAGCATTTTGGCGGCGCAAATAACACAAAAAGAGGCCAGAAAGTGAAACCAGCTGGCTTAGCGGTGTGGCGCATACTAAGCCACTAATTTGTTTTTTGGTGTATACACGTCCAATGGGAGGGGACACTACACGCGCGCCAGGCTTTTAGACACGGAGGGTGAGATTTGCTTTTAGCCTCTCTTGTCAATGTCCAACATTACGCTTTCAATGACATGTCAGGAAAGTCATCCCATGTTTGCTTTGGCAGGCTTAAACAACGGGTTGATTGGCTGTAGCAAGCAGTATGTATTGGTATCAAACATTGACTTCACTGACTGATCTTCGTGGATTGTCAGCCACCCGTCATTTCTTCCTGTCCGGGTTCCTGAGTTTCGCAGATGCTTCAGTCAATGAACTTTCAACTTTGTGTTCTGGTGACCTGGCCGTTGTGCAGGTTGATCGTTGGAGTGGTCCCTTTTTCAGCCACAACCGAAAACGGGACCTCCGCTGATTGGGGAGAGCTTATGCAAGTTTTGGCGGCGCAACATCTGCAAGAGCAAGAATCGTTGACAATGAGTTTGTGCCACCAAGTTGGCCAGAGTCAACGTACGCTGTGTTTGCGTGAAGAGTGTCATGGTCTTGAATCCCATGAGGCTGCTGTGAGGGCAAGCATCCATTGCCAGCAACAGAAGCAAGAGCAGCTGTTGCGGGAAAGAAACACTTTTGAAACATGGAGGAGAGCAACAGCAAGCATCTCGACTCCAGCCCCCAATGTCCAAGAATCCCAAGATGCTTTTCTGGAGGAAGTGCGGCAGCTAGATTATTTGATTCATGATTTGCAGCGTGAGTCTGCAGGTTTGTGGGTTGAAGAGCGAAGGAGTGACTTGGAAGTCAGATGCTTGGAGAAAGGCCTTGCGCTTCTTCATGCAAAACTTGATCGGTGTGAGGAACAACTTAAGAGCTATCGTGGCCAGACCCATGATTTTGGAAGCTGGTTGTCACTCGCCAAGCTGAAAGCAGTTTTTCCATAGATTTCAATAACATATCAAAGTGATTTGGATTAAATTGTAGAGGTTTAGGTTTCAGGTGTAGATGGTGGTGACTGAGACTTGTGAAGGCGCTGTCTTTCGGACTATTTATATAGTATACAGGTTGATGTTAAAAAGGTTAACGTTTCAGAACTAGCGCAGGAGGTGTTGTTGCACCCCAATGGCCAGGATGTCCCAACAACGCAAAAATGCACTTCTGCGTGATGAGATTGCTGAAGTGGGTGGCAAAGCTGAGTTAAAGTCGCTTTCGATGAGGCCCATGTTTGCGCTCTATTGACAAACCTTGTTGAAGCAGAGATATAGGTGTAGACGGTGTAGATATCTAAGGCAGCACAGAAGAACTAGGTAGGAGGAGGGAAGTTCTCCCTGCCCATACCATAATACATAATATATAACCCCAGTGCCCGAAGACTGTATAGGGCTCGACAAATGGAGTTGCTCCCAAGTCTGAGAATTTCTCAGCAGGTTTGGCCTGTATTCAATCCGGACTTCACATCCACTTTAAGGCATTGAATTAAAGAGATTCCTAATCTTTCCCCCACCACCGCCAGGTTTGTTTGGCTAGATCTTTCGGCCTTGTCGACACAGCCGTTTTGAGATGTTCCAACTGTTGCAACAGACTGCAAGTCTCCTCTTCAGTGTGCGCAAGTGCAAGTGTCAGGCGCATTTTAAAGCTGAGCTCCCAGCCAGCACCGATTGGGAACAAGACAATCAGATTTCCGGCTTGTGGTGTAGGCGCTTCCTTTCTCTGAGCTACATTCGGGTTTGGAATGATTTGGACTACCCGACGAGAAACAGGCTCCCATCAACAAAATGGTGTTGCCCACAAAAACACGCAGCTACTGATGCTTTTCGTTTTTCAGGTGCAGGAGAATTATTCCATCACTAGTGAGCAGTGTAAAGCAGTGTTAGCATCAACATGGGAGTCTTAGAGGTGCAAGAGATTCCGACCTTTTTGTTTTTGCACATCTATATTGCCAAACAGCTGTATCCCGCGGAACACCTCTGCTGCATGCCGACCAAGAGCAAGTATCGTTCTGCCAATCATGAAATCTGAAAGCACGCATGTTGCAGAACAAACAAGTGAAGGGGCAAGAGAGCAGCAACTGACTGCAAAGCTGCATTAATGTTGCATGCTTCTAATCTCCCTGCTCGGACGTATGATGTCAGCTGAGGAACCATTTGCCACAAGTGGCGTCCGCACAATCAAAATGAGGGGCTGCGCTGATGGGTGCGTTTGAATGAGTCATCAGGCCATCTCGGCCCGCGCCCTGCTGTGTGTGCTGCATGCATGGCATGCGCGGCGTGGTCATCCTGTGGTGACGTTCCTCAGCTCGAAGCGAGGGGAAAAAGGTCGTTGATGTGTTGGCAAGGGAAGGGTTGGTGCAAGCTTGGAGAACATGCTCAAGAGCGCATGCTGCATCCAGATCAATTTTGCCATCCACACTGTGAGGATCCTGACGAACATACTTCATTGGTGAAACGAGTGAAGCAGGCTGACGGAAACGCATCTGAAATGTCATTTGTGCATCCGAAACAAAGAGCTTTTCAGTTATATACTATATAGGCGCAAGAGACCCCAGGCAGGAACAGACCATCTGAGAGCGCACAGATGGGAGCATGCGTAAACACACACAATCCGAAAGGGCAAACAGACAATGAGCACACACACGCACACGAAAGCGCAAACACACACCCAGACACACGGGAAATGCGTACTGAACTGATCGCCCCAAGGTGTGGAGAAGCTTAAGTGAAAAATGGCCTGGGTAAAACAGGTAGACACTTGTTTGCAGAGGTCAGAACCGATGCAATGGCTGGAAATCTTGTAGTTAGAAGCAGGGACCAATAGGAAATGAAAGGTATCATCGAGGCAGGTACGTCCAGCTGGCCAAGCTGGATATATCCCATTTCACCGGTAGCTTCGTTGGATACAGTTCCAGTGAACAACTATTGGAACGCAGGGTGCATAGTTTGGTAGCTGCAAGCTTTGTGAAGCTGCGCCCACCCCTTGTTTTGTGGCTGAAGGTGCCAGAAGTGGGCCAGCCCATGCCTGCTGGGTGGCTGGCTGCAGTGCGCCATTGCAAAAAAGGCGTGCTGGGCTTTGGGTTGGTGAGTGCTCTGGGAGGGCTCTAAGCTTCAAACGCCAACGCCAACTCAATAGGAGGGATCGAAAATGGGCAAAAAACACAAGACGTGAGAGAGGACGACAAGACAAACCTATGTGGTTGCGATGAAAAGGAACCAAGTGCACAGGGACGACCGATGAGCCAGACTTGCTTGAAAAAGGATGAAATGACCAGGCGTGAAGGCAGAAAAGGCATGAAAAGACAGAGGAAAAGAAAGTGTAGGTGGGGGAAAGGGTGAAAAGGGGAAAGCCAAATGCAGGGGTCGGAAATCGACGAAGCCAAACCTCATCAAACGAACCTAACCTAGGTTAACTTCGCCTTCGTTGTGTAGGTGAGCGCTGTGTGCACCTGGTGGGGGCCGGTCTCACCGGACCGAGAAAAACTGCGACCGCTGGGGTCCATGCCAAAATGGCGGGCTTCTCCGGTCCGCTGCGGACACGAGCAGAAGACCTGCTCAAGCGCATCTTGACTGGCGCAAGGCTACTCCGTCCGCCTAGGGTACACCTTGGGCTCTTGCAAGGAGAGACGCTTGGGAAATAAGCGTGCGTAAACACACACAATCTGAAAGGGCAAACAGACAATGAGCACACACACATGAAAGCGCAAACACACACCCACACACACGGGAAATGCGTACTGAACTGATCGCCCCAAGCCCTGAGAAGCCTAAGTGAAATAATGGCCTGGGTAAAACAGGTAGACACTTGTTTGCAGAGGTCAGAGCCAATGCAATGGCTGGAAATCATGCTGTGGTTGGAAGCAGCTGTGCAGCAGGGAGAACCCAGCAGGAGGAAGCTACAGCGATACGCAGCAGTTCCTGTCTTGCCAGCGAAGCCATGGCGAGCAAGCGCGCGGAGAATAAGAATACCCGTAGAGCAGCTGCGCGTGCTTTCGCAAGACTAGGTCAAAACTTGGCGTCGCCTTTGCGACTGAGCCGGGATTTAGGAAAAGAGGAGATTGAACGCTTTTTTGCAACGCTTGCTGGCGCAGCTGGACAGTCGAGGCGGGCGGAGGCAGAGAAGGCCATCGTAAAGTGGAATGAAGCTGCAGGCCAGCAACTTCGCCCTCCCAAGCATATGTTTCTTTGGAGGACGCCCACTGGTAGCTTCGTTGGACACAGTCCCACTGAAATGCCACGTCCCCCTCCAATAACATGTGTTCACGCGCCCGCGTACACACACACACACACACACGCTTGGGATAAATGTGCGTTCGGTTTGGGAAGCTTAGGTGAAAAAAACCGCCTGAGAAAGACGGGTACTATATGTAAGCGAACGTCAACTGGTTGATGTAGCCTTATTGAAGGTTTCATTGGAGAGAAGGACCCCCTTGTCCTCTAAGCTGGGAGGGATGAGTGTCGAATGCGCCCTGATGATTTTTTGGAAGACCTCTCTGTGGACGATGATTCGGTGGAGGTTTCTTGTTGGAAGCCTGTTTTCCGTGGCCCTGTATTCGGTGTGGGGCATTTCTTTTGGAGAGGTCTTGACAAGGCACTGCCTTTGGATCTTTTGTTCGTGGTCTGTTGAGGTGGCCCACACCATGAACAAATTTTGGAGGAGCCCTCCTGCGATCCAAGGTTGGATGACCAGGCCTTGGTTAAGGTCTCTGAGTGTCTGAGCTGTACTGGCAGTTGCCTGTACTTGTGCATGGTACTTGTGCGCTGGAGCTGCTAATTGTGGGGAGCGTTTGTCCCCGGCACCCATGATTCATCCCTAGCAGTTGTGCTTGAGCTGATTGATGTCATCGATCTGCTTTCTTCTGCCCCGTACCTGTTAGCCATGGCCTGAAGTGAGCAAGGACGACAACAGCGTTTGTGGGTGTGAATGCGGTTGTGGGCGAAGCTGCTTGCCATTCCACACTGTGCAAATTGGAAATAGGCGTCCCTTGGCGTCTTTGTTGGGACCAACGGTTCGCGCCCTGACCCCCTGCAGGCGATAACGGTTTACGCGCACGCACGCACAACTCCATGATGTTTTGAGGCAATGTTTGAGGGCGTGAGGCTCGACAGGTTTCGAGCTGGATGAGGATGGCCGCAGTGCAGCTACGATGCAGAAAACTTTTTTAGAAGAAGAAGGTTAAAACCAAGTCCATGTGTTAAAAAAAGGATTCCCCAAAAAAATGTGGACACGCTTAGGGGTTCTGTTAGATCGCTGTGTTGCGCGGCCGTGTCTGGCTAATTCACTGCTATTTACAGTGCATTCATGCCTCTCGAAATCCTCGAAGCGCATTTCGACTGCGCAGGCTTGCGCGCGCGCGCGTGCGCGGCAGGCGCTTGTCGCGACTGCGCTCTTGTTGCGGCGCCGCGCCCATTTTCGGACATGGTGGTCACTTTTCGTGGCAGGCGCAAGGGAAACCTCGTGTTTTGGTGGCAGGCGCAACAGATCGGAGCGGCTTTGCTTCGAAGTGGAGATTTCGTGGCAGGTGGTGCAGCTCTTTCGACAGGGTGGTGATCTTCGAGGCGCCCTGATTTGTGACAGGTGCAGTGAATTGTGACTTTTGGCCATGTGGCTCGTTTGCAGACTTCGTGGCAGGCGCAGTACTTCAACTTTGTGGACCTTGGCGTGCAGATTTCGTTGCAGGCGCAGCGCTTAGTGAACCTCGAAGCGCAGATTTCGTGGCAGGTGCAGCGCTTTGTGAACCTCGAAGTGCAGATTTCGCGGCAGGTGCGGCGCTTTGTGAACCTCGAAGCGCTGATTTCGTGACAGGCGCAGCGCTTTGTGAACCTCGATGCGCAGATTTTGTGGCAGGCGCATTGTGACAGAGGTTCACACACACCCACGAGGATGAGAGAGATGCGATATTGCAACGTGAGAGCGTAAGGCGCGCATGAATCACGAAGTACTACGCCTGCCATGAGGTCTGCGCTTCCAGGCGCGCAGCGCCGTGCCTGGAAGGAAATGCGCTCAGCGTCCACCAAATGCTGCGCTGCTGGCAGTGGACGCCGTGAAATGAGCGTTTGCGCATTGTTGCGCCTGCCGTGCGCATCATGCAGCCCTGCCGCTGCCGGGGCGTTTCTGAACCACGCGTTAAACCCCTCGCGCGAGATTTCTTCGCAATTTGATCAGCCTTGCTGCCGCGGCCGAGCCGTATAAAGGTTCCCTTGTGCCTGCGGGCCTTGTACTTGTAGCCAAAGAAATGTTGCGAAATTCAGGTTCAGCGCGAGGGGGAGGAAAGCAAGCAGTGCCTTGTTTGCATCCCATTGGTTCATTGGCGGTGCAGTGGCGATTCTTGCGTGCAGGCAATGGTGGGCATTTTGCGAGTTCCTTGACTGAGAGTGGTCATAGAGGGGTCAGATTGGTCAAGCGTTTTAAACGTCAAAAAAGTTACTGTATATGTATGACACCGACTTTTCCGCTCGTGCAGAAACTTTGTGTTGTGTGTGTTCTGCAAGGTTGGAAGGAAAAAGCAACCGGCGTGACCCGCAAAGGCCGGACACGTGTCCAACGCTATTGAAGAAGCAGGAGAGACGTTGTGAACCCTTCTTGCTTAAACCTTTGTGACCCATCCGGATCATAGGTAAGATTCGGTCAAAACCTAGCGCAAGCACCCAGTTGCAAGGCTTGAGAAGAGAAGTGTACCAAGTTCTCTAACTTACCGCAGTGGCTGGAGAAGTCAGAACGACCGCCGTGGAAGTTTGAGATTGGTAGCGGAGCACTGGTTCACTCCAGTGCGATGACAGTACTGTTTTACTGTAATGATCCATGCCATCTGACATGGCATGGTGTGGAGGAGCAGGGGGATTGGTCCAGTTCATCTAGAGGCTTGCAGTGTTGGGTTCCCTTGGATGCAGCGGATGCAGTAATGAGGACAGGGGCCAGTCGTCGCCTCCGCAACGGCAAGACCCGTTGTGAGTGATACTCTGACCCTTGTCGCGTCTACTATCAGTGACTACGGTCCGAAGCGCAGGATTTTGTGGCTCAAACCCATCGCGGACATACTCGCTGCAAGGTTCAGAGAAGCTGACGAAAGCATTCGTCGAGATAGGGTGTAGGTGAGAAGCAAGGTCAGAGCATGACGAGGGATGAAGGACCAAGGGTGTCAGGAGGTTGTGGTCTGTCGAGCATCTATAGGAATATGTGCTTGCCACTGGCAGTTCTTTGCGTGAAGAGTTGCTGGTGTGTGACATGTTGGAAGTGGTTCTTGTTGAGGGTGAAGTGGGCATGCAGAAGTCAGGGCTTGAGGACGTGAGTCAAGAGGCCCAGAATGCAGTGACTACGAACAATGGGTAGAAGACAGCATCGCGCAAGAGACAGATGAAGACTTTGAGGAGTGGAACCCACCTGCAGGGTCTACAGCCTTGCGGCTCATTGCAGCAGAAGGAGGCCAGAAGAAGTTTCACAAAATATAGAGATTGAGAACTTAGAACGTAGGACGCACAAAGAAACTGATGTATCCTAAGGCGGGGTGTTGAGACTGCATGAGCGCCCTGTTGCAAGGATGACGCGCGCTTGAGAAGAGAAGTGTACCAAGGTTTGTAACTTTCTGCGCTGACTCAAGAAGTCAAAACGAGCGCCGTTGAAGTTTGAGAGATTCCACAGGCCATCCTTTCAGGTCGACCATGCAGCCTTTGCACAACCACTTTCCAAAGATGGACTAGCAGCAAAGCCATTTGATTCACACATGGCTAGACTCACGAGTAGTGTGCGATTGTTGTTTGCAATGCTATATCTTTGCTACCTTGCGATGATTGAGTCGAGCAAGATCACGTGGTTTTGCTGCTTGGAGCCGCGTGGGCAGGCACAGCTTGCAGTCTTTGAGACGCTTTTTCCAAATACGAGAGCAAGGTGGTTTGCCAAGGAGCGTGCAGAAACTGAGGCCCGTGAACTCAGTGTGTGAACATGTTGGTTAAACCCATGCTTGTGGGGCGTCCCAAGTGTGAGCAGTGAGTCGCAAGAATATGCAGCGAATACTCACATACACACAGTATATATGAGTGCGTTGGTGAATGCAGAACTTGGGCATTATGTCGAATGCGAGGAGTTCCGAATAACATGGCAGCTTGTGATAGCTTTGGAAACGATTTTTTGTGTTCTTCGGCGGCGTTCAATGTGGAAAATCGTGTCACAGGCTTGTCTGCCAACCCTGCTAATGAGCAAGGATTTTTGAACATTTGTTCATCTCGTTCACCGAATTTAAAGGTGGTCCAGCTGTCGCAGTCATTGCCATCTCCCATCATGGACTCATCAGCAAGTGGAACAATTTTTCTTGTGACTGACGTGGGTCTAGAGTTTAGGGGCTACCGAGTCTAGCGTGCTATACGCCATGCAGGTTGGCTCTCACCTCCTTCAAGAGAGGAAATGTGGATTCCTGCCACTTGTGTTCTGTTGCATCCCTGTCTGCATGCAATCTGACTTTGATGATTCCAATTTAGTAGGGGTTTTGCCTAGTAACCGATTTGATCGGATCTGATCCTATCTTTGGTTGGAAACTGGCATCGTTTTACGAGTCGCTGGATGGGCTTGATTGACATTCAGGCACAATACATTGCGGTCAAAGAAAGAGTACGTCGTTTTGGCATGTTGTATGCAACCAAAGAAGAACCAAAGTGGCAGCAAGAGCAACAAGGTGGATCATTTGATTTTTTCAAGGCACAAGGAATACATTTGCCCGTTGACCCTTTGTGTGCCTCTTTGCCGTTCTGAAACTTGAAATGGTGCCGCACAGTTTGACCGTTGTTCTGGCACCGTGGATACACATTGAAAACAACGCATCAATCAGTTTTTGTCCTAAAATGCAGCCCTGAGCGTAAAGAATGACGTAGAATGGTAGGCTCCAACAGGGAACACGAGCTTTCCTGCATTATCCTTGGCTTCAACCTGCGCTCTGATTTGTGGGTTCTATTTTTTTGTAGCTGGAATTTCATGAAGTGTCGTTGGTGGGTGAAGCCCGAGTTCCCTTTGTGAAATTTCCAGGTCAGACGCAGCTGCCCATCAACTCTGGGCGGCTTGGCGGTAAGGAGCCCACGTGTTCGGGGGGCAGTACGTGATGTCTTCTACTGAAAGCGCACCACGGAAGTTTCATGATAATTCACGGTAGAATTTGGACACTCCACGTCCGTACACGAGCCACTTTGGACTGCAGGTGCAGAAATTGACAGAGATCTTGCGGGCGCATCCCTGGCATGTTGTTGTCACAACAGTTTTGCAGTTTTATCTTGTTTCTTCAGCTTTCTTTTAGGTTGTGAAGATTCGTTTTTTTGCTTGATGCAATGGTGCAGGTCGGAAGAAGCCAAGCAAAATTGGTGGGATTATTGTGACAAGTACCATGGAGGACTTCGCTATCCGACTTCTGCTTAGCAGACATGTGCCGAATGTGCTGATACAGTCAAAGCGCCGTGAAGTTTAGGCAGCAGCATACAGCAAAGTCCATCCAGAATCTTGGCCACATATGGACATGGAGAGATTGTTATATAATTAGCTGGAAATACACACGTGGCCTCATGAAAGTCATGCCAAGGACATTCTTCGAGTGCCACGCAGCGCAAGAAGCACAGTGTTACTTTCTGCTCACATTAATTGGCAAGGCCCTGTTTTCGATGGTCCATTCACCGAGTCATGGCGTGCCTGGAGCAGAAACAGCCCAGAAGGACCTTGCCGATGCGATGTGCTTAGCCTCGCTCCAAATTAAGGGTTGAAACCTTGAACAGATGTTTTACATTGGTGCTGTGTGAAGATTGACTATGTTCTTTGGAGAACCTTGTAAGCTGGCGCTAATTTTTAGCGTGCGCTGTGCAGCAACTCGGGTGGGTCAATATAATATATACAAGTTTGCATCCATTGTGAGACATGCAGCGCGGTACAAAAGAATGGTCGGCAGGGCAAAAACACAATCCGTGCGACCCGTACATTGAAACAACATGTGTGCAGTAGGGTTGGGCAATGAGGTATGTATGCACCACGTGCTAGGGCCCGGAACTGCGTCACCTCGTGAAGTCAGAAACTCAAGCTGTGTCGTATTGTATCTGGGGTGGTACGCCGTCACTTGAAGCATGTGTGACATTAAGCTAGCAAGCAGTTCCATTCTGCGGAAAGTCCAGCAGACATGAGGAGCAGTTGCCTTACTTTCACATTTGGGAACCACCAACTGTCTCTACAAAAGCAACCTTTGTCCCTTATGGCAAAGCAGAAGTGGCCCACAGACTTGGCGCAGCATCTGCAAGGTTCTGCTTTGCTTCTCACGGCTGGTGTGAAAAAGCTCCATGTTCAGATCAGACTGGGAAACAGTGACCTCACGTGTCGTAGATCGAGATCATCTGACACGGAAGGCTCCTGCTGAGAGCGGGCATGTGGCTACATCCACAAAGGTATGTAGGTATACGGCCACAATGGTAGAAGTTGAGGACAGTGCCCAAGGGTCTGCCGACACTTGCACGTTGCAATCCTGCTGCGCAGTGTCGCGAGTTGGGTGCCTGAAACAAAAGGGACCCCTGCGGCACACACATATGGATTTATCCACTCAACTTCTGTCCACTCAGCAGTTTCTCCTTAAGACAATGTGGCACAGTGGGTCATGGAAGGCCAGCAGACGAAAAATCTTTGGCAGATTCGGATCACCACCCGCATGGCTGCTTTGTGCAATGTGTGTATGGCGAAGCTCAGGATGCAGCAGCGTTGGCCACATTGTTCGAACCCTATGCTTCAACGGCAGCCCCGACAAATCACTCTTTTTTGAGTTAACTTAACTGTTCATGTTTTGTTTGCGAGCCAGTCTGGAAGTTTGACGCGTCTCTGCCAGACACTTTGGTTGTTCCCGGTTCCCTGATCCGGCCTGCCATCCAAGGTCACCGGAAGTTGCATGCGTCACGGTGAAAGGGCAAAAAACTTATGTTTTTTCCTCAGGGTCTGGAGAGTTTCAAAGACAGTTGCAAGTGCAGGCATTACTTGACATTATACACTGTATATAATATTGGAAAACATGATCCATTCCACCTGCGCAAGGATGACACGCGCAACGGAGACCCTCTTGACAGCGAGGTTCAAAAGGTTCCGCATGGTAGCGGAGCAGTGACAGTCATTCCATTGCGGTCTGACTTGAGCTCCAGGGAACCTTTGGGTCCTGGCCTCACATAGCCTCAGCTCGCCCCTGTCTTCGCCGAGCCACCCATTTTAGTGTTGCAGGATCTCGCAATCTGTGCCTGCGCATGTTTGGCCACCTAGAGCGGAGAACATCTTCGGCTACGATTGCCCTTTTCCACGACTTCAAGCAGACGACTGAGTTTCAGCAGGAGTTCCTACTTGGACGACCAAGGAGGTTGAACTGACCTTTGCAGGCCAGGTTGGGTCATGGATGGTTCAGGTGGAGTTGGGATGGACTTCACTGGCTTCCCGGAGTTGGCTCAGGCTTTGATAGCCACGGCCAATGCGGGCCGCTCAGGCCGTACAGGCCACCTCAGCTGCTTCTTCATCTGGAGGAGGAACAACTGGTGCGGAAGAAGGCTCAGGTGTGATGAAGAAAGACTTGGCGAAGTTGATCGGTGTGTTCAATCCCTCGGATAGGGAACAGGAGATGCTGCAGTGGAGAGATTGGTACTGGTGCTTGAAGCAGTACCGTGGTGGTTGACAGCGAATTTCAACCAGAGTTGGAGAAGATCGCGTGGAGACCGCCTGGGACCTCTGGATCCCAAAGACCAAAGAGCTATTCCCTGTTGGGATCCCTAGTGCAGGGACGGTTGATCGGCTTGGTCAAGAATGTTGACAACTGTAACGGACACGAAGCTCTTCGACAACTCTTGGTCAACTGTTAGCCCCAAGCTCGCAACAGGACGATGAATCGACTGCAGGGGAAATATAATGGCTTATCCCAACTTCAACATGAAGACCAGCGTCCTCCCGCAGACCCTGAAGTTGGAGGAACACTTCAACCAATACGAGAAGCTTGGGGGGAAAGCTTCACCAGACCTTCGTTCGGCGGTCTTGCTGAGGGTGATCACCGAATGAGGGAAGCTCCTACCAGAAGCGGTTTTGGCTTTCGACGCGGCCAACGCCAAGCGGAACGAGAGCGCAGCTTTGAGCTTCTCTTCAATTATGAGCCCAATGCAGTCAGGTGCAGATCCCAATGGCCTTGTTCCCATGGAGATTGAGGTTGCAACAGGGAGATGGAAAGTCAAAGGGCAAGGGAAAAGGTTGCAAAGATGGTATGTGCAAAGGAAAGAGCAAAGATGACAAGAGTAAAGACAAGGGCAAAGGCAAGCCAAGTGGTGGCAAACCGGATGGCGAGGGCAAGTCCAACAAGGACCAGAAGGGCAAAGGGAAAGGCGACTGTGACACATGCTGGACCTGTGGACGCCCTGAAGGGCGCGTCCAAGGACTGCGGGCGAGTTCGCCAAATCGAAGCATCGCCAATTCAATCACGAGCGTCTTCGAGCCAGGCCACAACCACTCCTTCCACTACGTTGAGCGCTGCAAGTGGAGGAGACAGCAGTGTGACCAAGGCCATCCGTCGTGTTTCACAACCTGTAAACTTTGGCGACAGACTCAATTCGAGTTTGAGGACATGTGCTGAGGGCTTTGAACCGAAGAAGAAAGAAGAAGAAGAAGAAGAAGAAGAAGAAGGTCGAGTTCTTCAACATGGACATCGATGACGGCAGTGACAGTGAGAATGATTCTGACCTCTCAATGAACTTGTCCATTAAGATGGTGGGCCAGGCAGATTCAGATGGAGGTGATGAGAGTGATCAAATCGTGGCGTGAGCATCACACTCCATGCCGAAGGTGAGAGAGAGGTGATCTTGAAGGAACGAGTCACCTTCAGTGACGTTGTGGTTCAGCCCGTCCTATCCTTTGGCCACTTGCTGAGAGCAGGGTGGTCGATCGACGCTCAGGAGCGTTGCGTGTTCAATGGAAGTGTTCGGGCGCCGCTGACGTTTCAGAACAAGAGTCTAGTTGTGAGGGGCTTTATCAGGACCCTTGTGCAGGCTGGACGCGTTCGCGCGTTGAAGGCGGTGCTGAGAGAGAGATTAAGGGCATTGTGGGTGCCCCTATTGGATGGAGCAAGCGTGGTGAGGTGTGGGTTGGCTATCATTTGAGCAAAGACTTTCAGACCCCCCGTGCATCCCTGCCTTGAGAGAACAGCAGGCTGGACTATGCGGGCCTACGCTGATGGAGAGAGATGGTTATGGGAGCTAGTCGAGATGACAGAGCCCTTGGACGGTCTTGATGATTGAGGAACTGAAGGAGATTGCGCGATCGAGAGTGTTGAGTTTTGTGGCGCACTATGACGCCCCACAAAGTTCGGAGGAGCTCGGCTTTGACATGGGTTCCTTCGAGTTTGGCCCCCAGCGACTCAAGGCGAAGGTGCGTGAGGAGTTGGCCCTATGAGGCTGACGATGAACATGATGACATCGACGATGAGCATGATGACATCGATGGCGCAGAGGTTCCAATGGCCATCGGAGAATTCGAAGGTGGACGTGATTTTGCAGATCAGGAAGTGAGATTTGAATTGGGGGCATTCCAATTCCAGAGAGGATCAAAGTGAACGAGATAGAGTTGACAGCGGAAAGGCCATTGAGAGGGCTGAGAGCTGCGTGTGCCTTTTACAAGATTGGCCAGAGTGGAGGAAAGGCCAAATGCTTCAAGAGGCTTGTTGAGCACCGGGGGGAAGTTGGAGCTGATGAGGGCAAGAGATTTGACAAGGAGCGCTGAAGCAGCTTTGTCGAGACGACCTGTTGAGCACGCTGTATCCAAGACACCAAGCAAGGAGGAACAACGACTTCATGAGTTGACTCACTCGCCCTATGCAGCTTGGTGTGAAGCATAGGGCCAGACCAGATCAGGCCAAGCTTGAGAAGCAGGACCAGCCTTTTCGTTTGACTTCGCCTACACCCACTCAAGTGGCGTTGGTAGGAGGGTGTGGCAGATGATGAGGCTGGTGTGTTGTGGCTGATTGCCATCTTTGCTGAGACTGGATATGTGAAAGCCAAGTCGAATCGCCCATGCGCTTCTTTCGTTCACGTAGGTTCTTGGCCATGAGGAGGTCACTTACTACTTGGATAATGAATTGAGACAAGTGCCACGACTCTGGTGCAAGCCAGCTACAAACTTTGGATCGACCTCAACCAATTAAAACTATGCGCAAGGAAGAGATTGCAGCTGTGACGAAGCTAGCGCAAAAGGTCCACCGTGGTCTTGCGAAGGCCAGTGGCTATGCGGACGAGGATGAATTTGAGGATGGTGAGTGGCGGCATTGGGACTACATCCAGAAGTCCAACTGCAAGCTTGACTTCATGAAGCACAAAGATGAGGCACGAGCGTATCTCCTGAAGGAACTTGACAAGCAGGTCGAGATGGAGCACTACAAACCATGACAATAATGCTGAGATGGCTGGAGATGAACTTCAACCAGGCGACGCCGCATTGGTGCAGCTTGAGAGCGGGGAGATCGTGACTATGGAGTATCTCCAACCGAGAAAACCCGAAAGCGAAGCGGATGAAGATGACAGCGTGGCAACCACCGGTTCTGCTCAGGAGAAGACGGTGAGTGGAGTGCTGGGTGAAAGTTCGATGAACTATGATGCCAAAAAGGCATGGATCATGAATGCAAGCTTCCGTGAGCTGGGAGACCTTTACACACCAGCTGGAAGATCAGGCCTAAGGGCCAAAAGGCACCTGCAGGCTCTAGAGGTGAAATGGTGGGGGTTGAGAATCCACGAGTATAACATGAGATGGAAATCCATTATCCTTTCTTGGATAGCCCCTCACTGAGGTTCTAGGTGGCATTCGATGGCACATACCTTAAGCCTCGATTGCCAAGGAGGAGTGGAAAACATGATCCATTCAACCTGCGCAAGGAGGACAGGCACACCGCAGACCCTCGTGACAGCGAGGTTCAAAAGATTCCGCAAAAGCATATATGTATATATATATATATGTGTACAAATATATGTATACAAACTAACTTATCCCTTTGGGGCATGAAGTTCTTGGTGGCTTAGGTGGTCCAGTTTCAGGAGCCAGTCGCGCACCAAACAATTGCTCAACTAGACTCTGTGTGACCATTGTGACCCATCTGAAATCAAGGTTTTCAAAGCGTTGCCAGACGTCTTGAAGTTTCACCCGTTAAGCTCTCAGCTCGTGTCTCAGGGCACCGACAGCTTCGGTTTGTTTTGCTGGCTTGTTGAAGCATGAGGTCGGCCTGTGTGGCCCAAACAGGCTTTGAACATCCAATATCACCACACGGAGGTAGCGTAGGCCAAGCTCCAGAAGCTTCCTCAACTGATCGACAGCGCTCTCGGTCGCCAAAAAACGAGCGAAGTGAAGTAAGGAGGACCGTTGTTTGTTCTAGGTTGGTGGCTGCGGGCACCCAGGTCGTTTCTTGATGTCCGACGTTCCATGCTGTTTGCCTAAAACATGATCCGAACCTTTGTGGAATTGAACACTTTCTTGGACATTGGGCAATCGGCAAGGCAACAGTCAGCACCCAGTCAAGTGTTTTGTTAGAATGCTTGATTTGGCTTATTTTCAAGAAGGGTGCCCTAGCAGGTTACCTCACACCCTGCATGTTCATCAACCGCCAAAGCAACCTTGTGTTTAGGAAAAAATCCACCAACACCAAACACTTCCAGAAATGCCGTTGATCAACGTTGAACCAGGTCTGACAAGGTTGACTTCATGGCAAGGCACATGAAACAGTCAGGTATTTGATGATTGCAACAGCATCACTATGCCAAGGAACTCTTGGAAGCCATGAAAACAGCAGCCTTTGCTGTGGGACTTGCTGCAGTTGCAGTTTTCTTTGGCGTAGAACCTCCAAGTGCTGTGAAATGGAGGTCTCAAAGCTTACTGAATGTGATTTGGCGGAGTCTTGGAGTTGATATACGCTTGAAGCGAGAGTATCAGCATGACTTCCCCAGTTATGGCGTCTACAACTTTTCGTCCAAGAGTTGGCCAAGCATCGCTCGGGTACCATTATCATCACTGAGCTCCCAGGAGTTCAAGGACAAATATGTGAAAGGACGTGTTCCAGTGATTTTGACGGATATTGAACCTCAAGAAGCTTGGGGTTTGAAACGTCTACAAGGTGAATGCGGAGATATGCCAGTCACTTTTGACCGTCGCTATTCCGCAGGGTTGAGGGCAATTCCAAAGTGGATTCGAAAATTGTTCTTGGATCCTCGATTGCGAGAAGCTTACAATACAACAACGGATAGCGTTCTTGCAGCCATGCATAGAAAGATGAGGTTGTCAGACTTTTTGAGCTTTCTCAAGAAAGACCAAGATTTGATCTCCACAGCCAAACAATTTCTCTCAGAGAACGGCAAAGGATCTCCACTGTATTCTGGACATATTGTAGACTACTTGTTTCCAGTGATGCTCAGTGCGCAGCATATGGAGCGGGCTCACTGCAAGACTTTAATTGCTGAAGCCAAAGCAGTGCTTCACAGATTGACCGACTTTGCATCTCGATTGTACTAGCACTTTCTTGATGCTTTGTCCCTCTTCCAACTTTTGTAGCAGTTTCTTGAGAAGTGAACTGCTCTTGTGAGGCTGCTGCCGGCCGTGATGATGCTCCGGAGTTCTCAGCTATGGACTCTGCCATTGGCTCAGCAGTCAACGATCATCATTTGCGCTTCGTGACGGTGCTGAGGTCTTGTTTGTTGCGCCTGCTGGTTCCAGAGCTATTCCACTGCATCAGCATGGACCATACAACGACAACTTGTGGCATGGCGTGAAACATATCGAGGATACCCGTGCACCAGCAAAATCAATATTGAGACATCCTTGGTCACAATGCCACATGCTGCGCATGATGCTACTATATATACAGCCTTGCATCACCGACATCATCTTAGCACATCCCACGGGCCCTCACTTTTTAGACATGTCTATTTCCCTTCTTTGTGTGCGTGCTAACCGCGGGCATGCGTTGTGTGTAACCTCCCAGTATTTGCAAGATCGAAGAAGAGTCTGCGCTTGACGGTATCAAAACCCAAAGCATCCTTTAACACAAACCCAAAAAGTCTACAAAAGGAAACCAAGAAGAAAAATGAAGGTAAAGGGCCTTACATTTTTCATTCTTGTGCCGATACTCTTTAACATGGGCAATGGTTACACAGCCTGCAAACTGAAGCCCCTAATAATAGACACAATGACGCCATCCAACATGTACAAGCTTCAGCCTTGAAAGTATCCCCTTCCAAGGGATCCCTTTAGCTTTCAATTGATTCATAACACGCTAAAGCAAGTAAACATGGTGTCCCCACTCCGTCCAATGACATTCTGGTGGGTCTCTCCTCATATGGCGTGGATTCGTCCGTCCAAAAGAATCATTCAACCAGAGAGTCCGATCGACTGGGGCTCAGGCTTTGGATGCTCCACGGCACAAAGAGGATTGTAGCAGTTTCGCCTTCATCCACTGAATGGCTCTATGAAAGGCCGGAATTTGGAGGTGCCAAACTGAAAAACAGACACAGAAAAGAACCTTGCCAAACACATCGCCCTTGACACACATTGAAAGGCAGTGAGTATGCAGACCGAGTTTTCTCCGCTGATGTCCTGGAGCCAGATGCAGGTGACAGGGCTATTTTCAAGCTGAGGATCCTAAAGGTGTTTTCACGCATTTCTCACAACCTCATGGCTGTGAATTTGGGACATTGGACTTTCTTATTTGTTGCTGTCTTCTTTTGCATTCTTGATTTGTTCCTTCAATTCTTGGAGAGTTTGATCCTGATTTGGCAGCTTTCGACTTTATCGCTGGCTGAAAGGTGTACAGCCTGACGTCGCTCATGTTCGCGCCATGGAGGGGCATGTTTCGGCCGGTGAGCTGATCTACCTCCCAGTTCGTTACCCAGCTGTCAGGATGTTGTGCAACAAACAGAAACTGACGGTTCAAACGCTGACACACCCACCCACGCACACACAAGGAAAGCGTTCTTACACGCAGTCTTTTGTTCACCAAAATGCCTTTGCCAGCCATGCAATTTGAACGTGCTTTGTTGAGGGTTCGGTGCTACGAATCTCCAGGATTCTCTGGGCGATGGGTGTGGTGGGTCGGTGGGCCAATGAAATCGAGATAGACATAAATTAGTTCATGTCAGTGAGTGCACCATGTCAGATGTATTCCGATTTACTGTGCCAATAGGCTCAACTTACCCGGAGGGAAAACAGCTTTAGCTGCGCCACCGCTATCTTTCATGGTAGCGGAGCCACCCTGCGGACTCTTGAAATATACCCCGGGAGAGCAGATCCAGAAGCCTTTGGAAGCAAGTGAACTGAAGGGCGTGTGAAAGAAGAAAAGAGGAAGAACAAGGTGAAGTTCTGAAAGCTAGCTGTAGCTAGCTGGAGTCTGCCTTGCTTTAGCAAGGAGAGCTTTCCCACCCAGGACCTGAGTCTTAACCGATTTTGGTACTCCTGATATATCAGGGGTACACCCCCCTCCGCGGGTTCAACTCCCCCGTAAAGCATATAAGAAAGGCCGCGCGCAGAACGACGAATGGCCAGCCTGCTGCTACAAGCTCTTCCAGAGTTGATCCGCGCTGAGGCAGTCGTCTCGCAAGTTGAGCACGGCGCAGCTGTTGTTTGGTCTGTTCATTCGGTTTCACAGCCGAAAGGTTGAATTGATTCGGTTTTTGACCGACTTGAAGGTGACCGGTACCATGTTGGACGTGGCATCTTCACTACGCCAATGGCGGCGCTGGTGGGGGCGTGCCCGGGAGTTGGGCGTGGTGCTACTGCTACTGGATCCGGTGGCCTTATCAGGGGTGCTCACAAAGGCCTCGGATGCGATTGCCAAGACCAATGCTCACTGCTTATCGCTTGTCGGTGTGTCGTCATGAACTTGGCATGGACACCCGGCCAACAGTGGAAAACCTTTGCTGAGGTGATGCAAGCTGAAGCTGAGGAATTGACCCGCTGAAACTTCGGGGGTTGCAGTGAGCGTTGACGACGCCTTCTTCGACCACGAGCTCTGCCTTGCATGGTGGGGAGGCGAAGAACCATGCAGGCGAGAAGGTGAGCTCTTCTGGAAGCAAGAAGGGCGACTGCAAATTCTGGTTGTCAGATCGTGGACGTCGGCTGGAGACCGATGTAAGTTCAAGCGCTCTCTCTCCTCAACCGGGAGGAAAACAGGTGCTTCTTCTGTTCAGGCCTTAACTGCAGAGGGAAGAATGTCCGCAGAAAAAGGAGGGCAGGTCTGAAAGTCCTACTAAAGGTGGCGAAGGTGAAGGGGGCGGATGGGAAGCAGCCTGGTTCCAACAACGGCAATGGGGAGGTGGGCAACAACGGCAAGGTACTCAAGGAGACCCAGGAGGCGGAAGAGCTGAGGAAGGACATGGCCATTGAAGACCATGAAGTTCAACTTCAACTGGAGGAGGCGGTTCGCCCGCATCAACCACTACGTCGGTTCATTTGGCGCGCGTCCACGGTATCCTGAACGCCCGGTATTTGGAGTGTTGCCATCCATCAACGGACTTTGGGACACCGGGGGGGGCTTTGCCTTGTGCTTTGCGGCCAAGGCTGCCGAAGGAGCAAGACCCAAGTAGGGGCCAACAACAAGATTCATCAAGAAACGCGCAAGAGGCCATAGACGTCGGGCCGCGCGCAGTCTTCCTGGGATGTGATCACAGAATCCCCATCAGACGCGTCGAGCGTGCGCCGTGGAGTGTGGAGCAGGATTCGGCTCAGGGTGGCGCCCCATCCTCGAGGAGCAGGAGCTGAAGAGGCAGCGGCTGGCGAGGCGTCTGACGAGAATGCAGATGTGCAGGGGCGCCTTCCCTTTTTGACAGTGGAGGAGGTCGGACGTTGAGCCTGCAACTCTTCCACCCAGCCCGTTGACGCCGCCGATGGAGTTGAAACCATGTTCATACCACAAGAAACCGCCTGTGCCCTTTCAACCAAATCGTTACGGCGCGGCGGGTTCAAATTCGAGTATACGGCAAGAGAGCGTGGCTTGGCGGCAATGGAGCTGAAGGCTACCACTTCCAAGGCGAAGGGAGCAGCGGAAGATTGGACACCGAAAGCGACGGGGTCCATGCTGATGGGCGTCTCAAAGACGGGTGGAGTACCGGTGTGGACATAGTCACTCCTCCTCACCCACGCCCGCAGCGACTACCATGTTGGGAACGTCCACAAGCCCCGCAGCCAATGCTCCGGCGCTTTGATGGATGATGAGATCCAGGTTCAAAATTCGGTGTGGTGGACGGAAGCGACCTTTGAATGAGCGCTGGCTGGTGAGGCACCGCGCGGAGAGGGTGCAAAGATTCCATCCGGAACACAGGTCATGCCCCTTGTCAGGCGAGCAGCTAGAGTTCTTCCGCGTGACCATCGCGTTTCGCCTGAGGGAGGAGAACTGGAGAACCGTACATTTTCGCCGACTCGGATTGGCGGCGGGCAGAAATTGTCCAAGGCCAATGGAGAGGCTTCAGCTTCATCCTTTCCAAGCCATGACGGCTTGGGGGGAGTGCGGAAAACCCAAGAACCGCACAAATCGAGAAGTGTACAGGAGTTGCACATCAAACGAGCGACAAGCTGACCTGTGCTGAAGAAAAAAAGGCGACGCTGTTTTGCGCCCCGTGGGAACAATTAGCATCATTTTCATTTTTTGAGTTGAGAATGAGTTGAATAAGTCAAAAAAGAAGCTAGGTCCAGCTAGGTTAGACTTTATGTATCACTTACATTCCGATGCTAAATATGAGAGAAGAAGTCTCGCAATGACCGCCCATCTCGAGTGTGTTGTGTCCTTTTTGCTCATGTGATCACTCGTTCTGATGATTGGCGGTTTCAGACCAAAGGCAAGAGACGCTTCTCTTGGACGTATTCTGGTTTTCGGGTTTTTTTGCCCAGGTCAATGTCCCACATGCTGTCCAAACCACAGAGGGTGATGCAAGCGTCGGGCACTGAGGGCAGTGAGTGCCACTCGATTTCGTTTTGACAATTGTGATGAGACTACTGCAGCACAACCCGAAAGATTGCAGAATTGACTATCCCTACTGCAGAACTGGTTTAGATTTGTTTTTTCTGCGTTCACTTTCTACTCATCCTTAGTACCTTGTCAAAGTGCCTGCTCGAAAAGGACACCACCACTAGCTCTGGATGATATCATGTTTCTAGCATTTCCAACCATTATTAAAGTTTTGCTGTCACCAAGACATGGACGCATGCAGCCGCATTCACATGCCACATTTGTTGACGGTGCTTGTACGGTCGCGGGCCACATGTCCCTTGACCACTCGAGCACTCGAGAAACTCAAAGCATCGGTCTCCAGACCTTTATCTCAAAGTGTCGAAGCACAGTCGAAAACATCGAACCGGATGGACATACAAAGTCGCCGCAAGGGATTGGCGAAAACGACTTTTGAAGAGGGCCCTCATGAAGTGCATACTTCTTGGCCAAATGTCACAAACTTGTCTTTGGAAGCTCGGAATCTGACACTCTTCTTACATTTGTGGCACTGTCTACCATGGTTGCTTGTGGTTTCCTGCTGTTGTAGCATTGCAGTACCAGGATCATGATCGCCGTCGAGGTAAACACCCATCACTATCACATTTCTTCTTGGCACGGATTGTTGGCACAATCCCAATCAACAAACCCACAACTAACCGATTGTTGATCGAGCGGTGAGCACCGCTGGACTTCGGACTTCATCCTCAGGATCAATGAGGTCTGAGGTCACGTTTGCTGGTGATCAAACATGCGCAATTCGCATTTTGTTTATGTTTTGTGGCATGCAACGCTGTTGTCTTGAGAAGAACTCAACCTGATGTGTCTCAGTGTTGCGCTTGTGCAATCCGTCTGTATGCAGGGATCACTTGGTTCTTTGATTGTTTGTTTACAGATACCAGAGCAATTCTTTGCCCCCCATGTTTGGGGTCAAGCTTTCATCATTTCTCATGCTTACAACAATTTTCCTTGGAATTGAAAAGCCGACACTACGAAGAACCGCTCAAGATGAACATGCACATGTCTTAGCCAAGACCCCCACAAAAGCTGTAGCCAAAAATGTGTGAGTGGCGCAGCAGTCTCACTTGGTCCAGGATTAGCATCATTACACAATGTTCAAGAGGACTGATTGCCAGAATAGCATGGAGAAACAGGACGACGTTTGCTTGCATTTCTTCCTTCCTGTTTGAAGCAAAGCACCTTGAGGTGATGCTTGCATGGCAGATGCCAGTTCCCGGAATTGCTCGAATGTTCTTCATGAAGCTTCTCGTAAGCAATGAGGATGTTCGGACTGCGAAGGGCTGTTGTATTTTTGAGATTCAATTGTTGTGCAAAGGTCCTGTTCCTATTTGGAGGAGTTGGCGGACTTTCCTCCATGGGCCAAGAAGTGCACAATCTTGCACACATTAATGCAAGATAACCCATAGGCAGCGGACTAAAAAGGACGCATCCATTGCCAATTTAGTGCGCGCGGCAACGATTTGCCTAAGCTGCTTGGCCGGCATTTGGCCCAACCTCAGACATAGAGGCAGAGATGGCCTTGGCCTTAGAGACCTCAAACCAATCAGCACCAGCAGTTTAAGTTTATACACAGCGAATATACTTAGTTTATTCCAGTAAAGACCATGATTCATGATGATCAAAATCCACGGATAGAGCCATCACACGAACAGTTTCCTCGTCGCCATGTCATTGCAGACGACAAATGACACTACCGATATATGTGGAGCGCAGTGGCTTCGCTGCATGTTGCTTCGATTCATTCACATTCGCTTGATCAATTCATTATCTTCACACTTTGATGTAGGACGATTAGGATGATGACCCAAGGTACAATTACCCCTAGGCCACTGATAGGGATTGTCACTCACCCTTATATACTCCCACAAAATGCCAATCAAGAGGGCAGAGAGCATTGATTGATATATCTATGTTCACCAACAGGTGGCTGCTGCTGTGGACCACTGCCGCATACTCTGCTGACATTCCAAACAAGGAGGAGAAGGTCTGGCTGGGGTCGGAGGATGTCGTAAACGAAGATGCAGGCAACAATGGGCGTACCTGTTTGTGGACGGATCCTTTCATTGGTGCATCCTTCTTGATTGACGGGCAATTTGTAACAAGTCTTGGACGAGAGAAACATAGACATAGGTAATACCTTTCACTAGCTGGTACGCTAGATCAAGCGAGGAGCCTGTTGAAATACGGCAACTTATATAGGTGTTTGTGGCCCTGTCTTGGACAAGTTGCATAGAGTAGATAGCGAAAGTGAGTTCTGACGGATGTTTGCTGAAGTTATGGTTTTCAGGAGGGTTGGAATTGATGTGTTAAAGGGATTGAATTGATAGGTCACTGCAAGGATCCTCCCCCGCATAGAATCAATTTGGGACTTTCTATTGTAGGGGATGAAAGAGGTAAACCCAAATACCGGTGCATGCTCGCCTTCTCCTCCCGTAGCACCTCAGAGCTTTCAATAAGGAAGAGTTTTTGCCATGGACAGTAGAACAATATTTACAAAAGCTTTGACACTCACCAAAGCTGCAAGATATGAATTCAGATCAAGTTATAGAACATTTGAACATGCACCAGTTCACAGCTGGTTTCTGTTGCCCGCTCGTGCTTGGTGTCACTGCGTGGGGTGGGCTCCTGCGTACTTGAGGTCGGCGTATCGAATCAGCGACAAGCAAATGTGGTTATATAGTGTTCTGAAACTGGAAAGTGCTGTACAAAGTCAGAAGACGGCGAATTTTGACCGTTGCTCCTACTGGGGCTGAGCTGGTAGGCAACGCCAGGGATTTTTGCAAGAGATTTGCCTAACTACCAGAACTCTGCAAGCGCAATCACCATCGCAGGTGGCTTGTGATATACCGTGGCGTTCGGCGAACTATCCTGTTGTCCGTTTGCATTACTTTGGTGGCAGGAAGTACTGGAGACATTCTTTCACAAGTTCCAGGAGTTCAAACGAGTTAGAGGTCGACAAAGGATCAAGGTAGTCAAAGCAGTTCACACACGCGCACACATGTTGATGTTTCTAGATAGCAGCTGTGTTGCCATTTCTAAGTGGGTTTTATGCCAAGGCTGAGCAGCTAGAACGGCATCTGCAACCTTTTCTTATGCTTTCTAGACATATCCAATGAATTGAGTGAACACCGTCCTGTGCAACAGTTGTAGCAAGGTTGACTTATTTGCTGACGCATTTTTCTATGAGTTTAGTTAACTTTTCATCAAGAAATGTTTTGCTGAAATAGGCGTTTTTGGACCACCGTTGCTGCTGCCATGTGTCTCCTCATTTGTCTCCTTACACGTCTCCCCATCATCGTTTTGTTTGCCGCTGCCTCCCCACTTTTCTCCTTATATACTTGTCTCCCCGGTTTCCCCATTTGGCCCAAACAACATTATGTTTGAATCTTGTTCGTTGGAGATGGTGCAGTGGAAATATATATATATATGGTGCAGTGGAAAAATATATATATATAGGGCGGAGCCTCGTCTGTACACGCGGAATTTGCCTCGCCTGTACACGCGCATAGATTTACTCGGTTGTGCACGCGCTCCTCGGCTGTGCACGCTGCTTGCTCGGCTGTGCACGCTGCGTGCTCGGCTGAATGAATGAATGAATGAATGAAATGAATGAATGAATGAATGAATGAATGAGTGGATGAATGAGGGACTGAAGGAATATGTGAAAATGAATGAATGAACAAATGAATGAATGAAATGAACTGAAGTGAAATGAACTGATTTAAACTCAACTGAACTGAACTGAATGAAGGAATGAATGAAAATGAATGATGAACGAACGAACGAACGAACGAACGAACGAATTAATGAATGAATGAATGAATGAATGAGTGGATGAGGGACTGAAGGAATGTGCGAAAAATCAAACGCAGAGCATCTGTGTGACGTGGTACTGTGGAAGCAATGAGCAAAAAGAGATCATGACTCAATTTGTGTGTGCGCAGGTGAGGCGATTCTTGTGTGCGCAGCTGAGTTTGAGGTAACGTGGGGTGTTTAAAGAAGAATGTAATCGATGTGTGCGCAGCTGAGGCGAACCCTGTGTGCGCAGGTGAGTTAAACAAAAAAACGCTGTGTGCGCAGGTGAGGCGAATTTTGTGTGCGCAGGTGAGGCGCCATCCTATATATAGGTATGTATACAGCTATATTTACACATTCTCCTCGTCTGCGCACCAGCGGCAGCAAGCAAAAACCGATACGTTTTATGAAAAAGACACCTATAGGCGTCCCGACTCCTCCTCCTCCTCCTCCTCCGCCGCCTCACTCTCCTCCTCTCGCTTCCTCATCATCGTCAATCATCAACTGACACATTTGAACTTACATAACTCAACTCACACAACTCACCTCGCACAAGTCAACTTACACAACTCAATTCACACAACTCAAGCGACGTAACTCAACTTACACAACCCAACTCACGCAACTCAACTTACGCAACCCAATTCACACAACTCAACTCTCAACTCAGCTGGCGCAACTCAACTCAGACAACTCAACCTACTAGTACATGACCCAACGTACATAACTCAACTTACACAACTCAACCACACAACTCAATTCACTGTGTGGCGTCTACAGCCTCTTCTATGGCTACCGGTCCGCGCCTGTCGTATGTATGTATGTATGTATGTATGTATGTTTTACATATTTAATGCAATGTAATGTATGCAGTGTTTGTAACGCATGCAATGTACGAAGTGCGTGTAACGCAACCGAACGCAATGCAACCGCAATGCAATGCACGTGTATGTACGTGTATGTATGCGTGTGTACGTTTAGTTATGTGCGTGTATGTGCGCTTACTTACTTACTTACTTACTTACTTACTTACTTACATACTTACATACTTACATACTTACATACTTACATACTTACATACACGGCTCAAGGTTTGAGGTCTTTTGCAGATCTCCCCCTTCGAACATTGCCTGCGCTTTGACCATAAGGAGGCACAGGGACACCTTCAACTACAGCGCATTCTTTGCTCGCAATCTTGCGCTACACCACCGACCCTACTGTGGACTCCTTTGGCATGCAATCTGTGGGCGTGGCATATAGTCCTGCATTTTTGTGGGCCTTGTCTGGGTGGCCGTAGAGGTTATGGTGCTGTCACAGGCGCCTCCACAGATGGGTACAAAGCCGTGGCCATGAGCCGCCCGTTGAGGTGTGTCAGCTATGGCTAATACCTTGTGTCACATCAAAAGTATCATCCATGTGTTCTCCTGCACCAGCAAATGACTTGTCCCCGTCATTGGTGGTGTGGAGAGCCCCTGAAAGGTGTGTAGCTTCAGTTGTCTCATGTGTCTTGTCCCCTGCACATTGTTCAACTGAGTGCCCCTGGTTGGCATCTGAGCCTGAGGCAGCACGGCAAGCCCTTGTTGGTTGTCGTTGTGCTGCTGGTGCGGTGGATGCCTCTTCGTTCCCCTGTAGAGACGTTCCCCATGGTTTGACCTTCAGAGCCTTCACATGACAAGATGTCATCGTCTGGTACTGGGAAGGTCCACCCCTGTAGAAAAGTACTGCCGAAAGTGTTGCCCACAGTGTCCTGGTGAAGCTGGCGCTGTGGCATCAGTTTTCCTGCGCTTGGTTGGGTCGTCAGGATCCTGATTGGGCCTCTTCAGAAGCCCATGGAGCTGGGTCTTTTGTTCCTCTGTTAGGGAGATGCCCAAGCTACGCGCAAAGGATTCGACCGCCGTTGTGATTTGTTGGGTTTCACCCGCTGGCTCAGTCAGGTCGGCCGGTGTGGGTGTCTGATTTACGGCCTTCATGTAATCTTCCGACAAGCTCTTGAAGGTCTTTTGACCATCAGCCAACTTAGCCTGGAGTTCCTGCATGTCGTTGAGGAGTGCAGCATACTGAGATTTGACATGGTCAATCTTCGTCTGAAGCTGTGTTTTTCTCATGGACATGTTCTTCAGCTCAGAAACTTGGCCTTTCAGCTTAGCAGCAATCTCGCGCTCTGTGTAGGGTGGCTGGACCATGCGTTGGAGAGGAGTTCGGTTGCCTCCTGTTGGACCTTGGAGCGCTTCAATGGCTTGATCTTCTGTAGGCCTGGTGGTGCTTCAAGCCATTGCTGGTTGGTCGTAGGGGCTTTGTTGGCTAGTGTTGTGGATTGTTGACCACCATGTACCACACCTGCGACAACGTGTTCCTGGCTGGATTTTGTCTTGCCAGATCCAGTTCTGACAGGAACTTTTTGCTGCAGACAATGTAGGTTCTGCACCAGGATGCTGTCTTGGATGATGTCGTTGCGGCGGGTGCGGATGACCTCAAGGGCTTTGTTAAAGTCCAAGAGATGGGTGTTGATCACCTGGTGCTCTGTGTTCTGGCCGAACTTGAATGCAATGCAGTTGCCCCAGTCTGGATCTCTATCTCCCGGAAGTTGAGGTGACGATGTCAAAGTTCTTAGGAAAGGGATCTCCAGTCTGGCTTGATCTCTATCACGGGTAAAGACCAGGGCCGGTGCCTTTGGCCAGGAGGATGTAAAACCCTTGAGGTAGCCGGGTGAAATGTTTGTAGCGCGTTGGGGATCCGCACTAGGTCGATTTGAAGGGGCACGACCTTGAGCACTCGTGACCTTGAGCCATGTATGTATGTATGTATGTATGTATGTGTGTATGTTAAAAAACAGTTTGGAAAGAAAACACCTTACACTCCGACACTCTGCGCGACAGCTCATGCAGCAAACCTTTTGCTTGACGATCGAAGGACTTGTGTCAAGATGGACCGTATGCCCCCACTGCATGTTTGCGCCAGAACTATTTGCGCTTGCAAGCTTCTTGCCAGGGTCCTGTCAGTTTTCCGTGCGCCAGGCCAATGGTTACAATCGTGCTATGAAGGAACATGGTCCACCACCAGTATCCTCAAGACGAGAGCTTATGCTTTGGCTGTGCATGGTCCGCACCCCAATTACCAGACCCAACAAACATGCAACATATGCTCGCTTGGTCCTAGCAAAGGCGGAGAATCGCTGCCTCAAATCAGCAGGTCGCGAGACCCAGGAACAGAGAACGCACACAGTTCCAGGTAGATTCAAACGAATATTTTCTCGTCCAACTGACGATCAAGGCCTCCAAACCAACCGGTGCCGCTACTTTGACTTGATGTCAAGGCATGTTGGAAGTGAATGTATGAGCAAAGGGCCTGAATATTTTTTTGTGGCAGGTGGCGATATGCCGATGGTTACCTCTAGAAAATCTCCTCCATCTCGTCGCGGCCTGGCCAATATGGCCTTGCAGAAGTGCAGGATGTTGTCTCAAAAATGTTGGATGGGAGAAAGTGCGCTGGCGTTGATTGACTCTTGTGTTGTTTTCATTTGTTTTCTTCTCGCGATCCCATTTGTAGGGAAGCAAGCGCAAGGTGTGCATTCTTTTCTCGCAGCATAGTTTCTCAAAATTTTCATAATGTATGCAACAAACACACAGAGAAAGAAACGCGGCATTTGGTTGTTTTTCAACACTTTCGGATGGCATGTGAGCTGCCATGGTTTCGACGGACAACTGATTGGGTCTCAGATTCCTGCTCGGATCAGAGCCTAAACCTTGACTTGAAGTGATTTGTGGTTTTGTGTTCTCGTTTTTCTGACTGATTTCTGGAGACTTGGGAAATGTGGCCAAGGTGCCCGATTGACTCCTCTTTTGGCAAGAGATGCATATTCCATAGCAAAGCCAGTCAGGCTGTCGCAAAGGAATGGATGTGCCGGCACGTCTTTGCCCAGAAAGGCACGCTGGTTTTGATTTTGATGTGAAGTGTGACCAAAGGGAATGTGTAAAGCATGAAGGTCATTTATTTGAAAGATGTGCAGAATCTCCGGGTTTGCTTGGCTGGATGTGCGACGTGTGCTTCGATGTCAAGGCTCATGGTTTCTAGCGTTATTCAAGCTGGACAATATAACGTCGGATTTGTTTGCGTTGCACGTTCATTTTCAACAAGCTATTTTGCCGATTTCTGCTCAAAGCCTCTCATCCCAAACTTCCAGCCATGTTCCGTACAGGTGAGCCAGCTTATGTGTTTGCTCAGCACGTCTCTGGTCCCCAAAGGGCAGTGGTATTACAAGACCCTGCAAAGGTGAAAGTGACGGCTTTGGACGAAGCAGCCTTAAGGTTTCTACCTGACTTTAATGGCAAATCTGTTGGGCACGAAAGGAATGATTGGAATTGTGGCAGCACTGAAGATGGAAGCGACCAAGACAGCTTTTCCCGCGGATCATCAGCATCCTATTCTAATCCTGGAGTTCAATACGAAGCAAGTGAGTCGCCCGATCAATATTCAGAGCTGCAAGAGGCTTGGTCAACTCGTGTCCAGACCTCAGATGCGGGGTTTCTTCAAGAAATTCGATAAAAAAAACCCTAAAGAAACACAGAAAGCAATATATAATGGGCCCCTTCCCTTTTCTTTTTTCATCTTCTACTCCTTTCATGTTTTCAAGGTCTTTCCACCCGCCAAGGAGTCAACTCAAGCAAGCTCAAAGCTGATCCTGTGCCGCTGGCACAAATCGGCCGGCACTGTTGGGTCGATTTCGGCTGATGGGCATACTTTCAAGAAGACAGCAAGCGGTCAGAAGGCCACTTGAAGCAAACTTGGGACTTGGAACTTGTGAGCACCAAGTTCTCCAGGTTCAAGTGGCACTGTACAAGTTCCCCCAAATGCATCTTTCAGGATCTTGCTGGAGCGAGCCTTTTTGTTTGCATGTCTAGTGCATGCCTGAGTGAAGACCGAGATTGAGTCAGCAGCCTCACCATGTAAATCTACTTTCAAAACCCCTTGCGACTCTTGCAGGTTGAAGCCGGAACTTTGTGACTCCCCTCCAGAAACAGTTGTCTTAAGCCACCGGAACTTCAAGTCTTGTGTCAAAGAACTCCTCCTAGACTTTCAGATGAGGCGACAGCTGTTCCAAACCTTGTTTTGTTCCTTTGTTTGCCAATATCTTCCTGTGCGAAGCAACCTGGGGCGACCAAAGCAAGAACTGTGCGAGCAAGGGAGCTTGCACCACTATGAAAGCATTCCTTGATCGCAGTCGGCCTCAAACTTTGCAAACACTATGTTACAAAATACCTAAATCTACAGCAATATGTTCGGTGCCCCTGGAGTGCTCCGATTTGTTTGTCAGGTTGTGATCAATGACCGTGGAACCCCCATGGAACTCAGCTCTATTTGCATGGTCTTTGACTCTACCTTGCGGTGTGGAGGCCAGAGTTTAATGTTTCTAATGTTTCCTTTGGAACAGAACTTCATATGCACCTGTCAGGTGAGGGTCTCTAGATTTTATATCAGCGACTGGCCGAACCCACCTCCGCCCATCTTTCCGCCTTACTTCCAGCCTTCCGAGAAGATATGTTAGTGCAGACTTGACAGCTCGACACATGTCAGAACACATTCGCGCTGAACTGTGGCGCGCTCGGGTGGCAGAGTGGTGCGCGCTGGACTTTGCGTGCTCGGTTTTTACCGGCTTTGGGCGATGCAAGTTGGGCTTTTGCCACAAGACATATTTATCAGAGAAAATGTCGAAGCGCAGCCAGAAAGCATGCCAGAGCACATGTGACACAAAATGCCACCACAAATATCAGAACAGATGTCTAATTTCGGAGCACTTGCCCGACACTATGCCAGAACAAATGTCAGAATAGGCAGAGCAAGTGTCAGGACAAATGTCGGAACATATTGTTGAGCCCGTGCTAGACCAAATTGAAGGCTTGGTGGCAGAACATGTCAGAACAAAAGCCAGACCATACGTTACAAGCGACAGAGCACATGCCAAACTTGATGGGAAGGCACGAAGGACAAACCAAAAGGCATGTCAGAACACATGTCAGACTTGACGGCAGGACTAATGTCAGAAGACGTGCCAGAGATGTCAAACACATTCTAGACACGTTCGTCAAAACATGCCAACACGGACGCCAAAACAAAGGCCAGAACATTGTGTCAATGCACTTGCCAAGCAGTGTTTGTCAGGATAGCCTGTCAATTATACATGTGCCCTGCCTTCTTCCAAGCCGCCTTTCAGGGTGGGGATGACTTGGACTAAGGTAATCTTAGTTGCATGTCAGATTTTCAAGCGCAACCTGTCACAGGACTCCATACATATCAGTATACCATCGTGGACGGTGAACTTGGGCCTGCGGATGGCGCTGGGTTTGTGTTTGATTCCAAAGTCCGCCGCAGCTTGGTTCGACCGGGCTGGACGCAGTGAGCCGGTGCAAAACGTTGTGTTTCATGAGTTTGTTTGCGCAAGCAGAAACAAACAACTCAACTGGTGTGACAAGCCTTTTGTCCAGCTGATGGGTTTTACAAGTGTCAATACCAGTGTTTTGCCAACGGTTAATCGTGCGCTTCAAATCTTCCCGGTCACACTTGGTAAGGGACCATGCCCCACGCTTTATGATTAGCAGCTCAGGGCCAAGGGTTGCAAGTTAGGACATGTGAGTGCAAACATGAGGAGTTTTGAGGAAATGATGTAGTCCAAGAGAAGACGCATTATTTGCATCATGCAAAGCATCAACAAGGCATTGCTCTGGGCATCGAACAAGTACGGACAAAGTGCAGACCCAAATAAGTTGCAAGGAAATTCAACTGATCTCAAGGGTAAGGGAACATTGCAGCTCAAGAGTGATTGCACGCAATTCTCAGTATACTCCTTCAGCGCGAAACCAGTGTTTCAAGATGTTTTGTTGAGTTCCACTTAGGAAACAATATCCAGCAAATGCGGACGGTCTTTCTCAACAAACGCGGGGCATGGGCCCGAGATGTTGAGTGTGCCTTGCAAAGCTTACCGTATCTTCCTGCTCAACTTACATGGTTTTCAGGTGATTTGCATCCGTGACCGCCATAATGTTCGCAAGTTGACAGCGCAGTTGCCTCCACTGGAACCGGGGCTGTGAGCCTTGGACATGATTGAGGAAATGTTGCTATCTGTAGATGGCGACATGGGGTCTTTCACCTCTTCTTTTGCGGTAGCAACGATGCTGTAAAAGGACATGCTCTCCTTGCACAACCTCAGGTTTGTCATTGACGGTGGACTTGGACAACTCGCAGCTGCAGTTTGTCATCTCATCACATGAAGGCAGGGTTGTAATAGCACCCCAAAATACCCAAGGTTTGAAGCTGGGTGGAGTAACCTCAAAGTATGATGTACTGTCAAGAACTAAAAGGCGAGATTAGCGAGATTGTCATTTTGCTCATCTCTGAAGTCTTCTCCTAAAACCAGCTCGTCACGCTGAGGTGGGTCTGACTTTTTGAGCATGGTAGAACCCTGCAGATCATGCAGCCATGCAAGACAAGCAGAGGTATCACATCCGGTCCTGCACCAGTCCGCCTCTCCTGAATGCAAGACCAGCGCTGTCTTCTTTGAGATTCGCTAGTGCGTTAAGAGTGATACTGAGTACGCGTTGCTCTGCGGCCCTTGCTCTTTCACAACCTTTCAACCCCCCACTGCGCCAAAGTGGTGCCCGATTGCAAGCTGTGCAAAGTGCACACGTTTTTTTTTGTTTGGTGCAGATCAACTTCTCAATCCTCGCCACAGAAATTCAGCTCCGAGTTCGATAATCCCAAAGCACATTCTGAATTGACACTCAAGATCGCACAAAAAATAACACCTAAAGACGGGTTCCAGAAATGCTGGAGGCAACTGTCTAGAGTCTAGACAGGAGCACAGCAGCCTTGATGGTGAGACGGCCCAGGTTTGCTGTTTTGGGTGGTCGACCGCCACGAGAAATTGCAATGGTGCTGTTTGCATTCTCATGATTCACATGATCATTCCCGCAAGCTGGTAGTGCAGCAACTGAGATAGTTGAAGTGAGCAACGTTTCCTTGATTTAGATGTGAACTTCAGGCGTCCTTGGCTTTGCAGAGGTGCAATTGGATTGCCTTTTTGATCTCAGCATGAAGGTGGACATCGAGACGAGCATAGCACAACGCAAGGGGAGTAATGTTCCAAACATAAGAAGATACCTAACATGGAGTGCAGATTGTGGTTTGAGGATGACTCATCAATGCTGCGAAACTTGCATTCTTGGCTGCTCTGCAGGCTTCTTTTCAAAGTGGTTTTTTTTGCGCTGTCGTCACGAAAGAGATCACAGTGTCTTTGTGGTGTAGCTTGGAAGGCAGGTAAGGCCATATTGTTTCTTTTGCTTGGAGGTTGGATTCTGCACAATGCTTTTTGTCCGAAAGAAGTTGAAACAAGTTAGTGTTGTTGGAATATAGATTTACCCGGTGTTTTGTGGTTTTGAAGCTAGCATTCTTCAGTACTTTGGTGCTTGAATGTACATATGTATATAAGTAGTTTGGTTTATTCCAAAAGATTCGCTCTCATTAGGATTTACACAACTCAACAGAGATGGTGGGCTTTGGCAAAGACGAATGCACTGGACTTTCGTGATGGTATTTGTTGCCAGAGAATCTGGATGTGCATTTTGATTTAACTTTGCTGTGATCTCTGAGCTTCAAGCATCTTGAGTCTTCGGTCCAAGCTTGATTGTCAAGAGTGGTATAGGGGTTGCCTTTTGTAGCCACTTGCCTGTTGCATCATCAGTGCACCACAGCAAATCTGTCTCCTGCTGTCGTTTGTTCCCTGCCTACGGTCCTGCCCTTGAGTTTCAATTTCAGGGGGCAGGACCCTTTCTGACTCCAAAATGCCCGAGAAGGTGTGAAGTGGCACGGCGCGAGCAAGAAAGATCGTGTTGTCATGTTCACGCCTCAATGATCTGAAAAAACAACTCAGTTCTGCAGGATGACAGTACTTCCAATGTAATTAGTACTCTTAAAAAAGCAAGAAACGTGGCCATGTACGTCATCTTGTGGAGAGATTCCGTGGTTTCCGTGCGTATGGAAGCGGAACTCAAATCTAAAGATTCAAGCGTCTCAACACCGAGCTCTTAGCAGGGTGTGCCAAAATCGGACGCTCCGACGGGTTGAGACCTTGCCTGGAACGTTTCAAAATGAAACCTTCGGTAGAACACCAATGTCCAGCGGCTGAGCTGTGCGCAAAGAAAAACGAAGCCTCAAGCTGGGTTGCTGTGGATGCCACTGAGCATGAGCTATAGCTACTGGTAGGACTTCAGGTTGACCTGAGACAAGGCTGCATATGCTTTCAAACCATAGCTTTGGCAGGATACCACGTCAATCCTCAGGAGCCGAGCACTACGTGTTTTCAGGTTGCTTTAGGTTGCTGGTTGCTCAGAGTCGCTTTCCGTTCTCCTTCAGGACAAGATTCAAAGACTTTGCTCATCAAGCGCCTAAGTTCTCAATATGGCTGCTCTGAAGTGGAGGTTGGCTGGAACCCCAAAGAATCTTCACTAGTCACTAGCACATCAAAAACCGAGAACTGCACGTGGACAGGTTGAGCGAAGCCTTTCGGTCTTTCAGCTTGCAGACCGCTCGGGTGACGGCACGATCCAGCGAGAGGCACCTGTTCGCCGCCTTATTCTGCCGTTTTCTTTCATTTTCGTTTCCATTGTTCTTCGTTTTTCTTCGCTTTGCTTTTGTTAGTTGTTGTTTGCCCATTCTCGTTACATCCTTTGTCCATCGATGCACCTTTCTGGCTGCAGTGACGAATATGCAACGAGCGCAGGAATTCGAAGCAAAGGTTTGTACCGTATACTACCGCCGCATACCATCGATCCCACGGACTGTAGGTGCCTGTGACCACAGCGGTTAGTCGATTTAGTCGATAGAGTCAGGTTACTACTAGCTAAGCTCCTAGAAGTACGGCCAGAAGCCCCTAGTAGCGTTCTTGCTCCTAGTAGCGATGCCCTTTGCTCCTAGTAGCTTCTTGTTTATTCAAGAACATTGAAACGAAGTGAGAATGCACATGAGACGCGGTGCCTGAGATTTTGCGATGGCAAAGCGCTGTGAGGACAGCGCCATCCGCTCAAGTTCAGCTCACATGCAGAGTTTTGTTGGATTTGCTTAATTTCCTAAGTTTCACTTCAGGTCTCAAAAGTGAGACATGATGACATGATGAGGGCAGGAGAAGGCTTTCGCCAAGCACTTCACAGAGCACAAGTGCTGCATCAGCGCCAGGTTTGGGTGCGTAGTTTCTGCCAATGCTCTGGACTTTGTGCTTGTATGGCCGCTCTTTGCTGTGCTGTGGCTGCGTCTATATTTATCTACGTGGCTGGGGATGGAGCTGGCAACGGACCAGCGCCTGCTGTTCCTTGCCTGAAAATCTTGGAATCAATAGTCAAGGCAGTTGGGAACTGTTGAGGTTCGTGCCAGGGTGAGTGAGGGTCAGCATGAGCTGGGCATATCACAATGCAAAGTAGGATTCCAATGGTGTTCATCATTTGTAGGGTGGTGGCTTTGAGTTGCCACTTTTGAGAGGGAGTATTTCACAGGCTGTGGCCTACAAATGCACTAGCGACCTCTACTTTGGACGTGTGCTGAAGCCAGAGCAGAAAGGTTCGGGTTATGGGTCAGAGGAACATCTATAAACGTACAGATTCGTTGACTAGGCATGATACCTCGGAATTCCCTCTCAGAGCACTTGAATCTGCATCGTCCATGCTTCATTTGAATTGCCGGCTGTTGGCAAGCTCTGACCTTTCTCTCGAGCTCGGAAAAGAATTATGCAGTCAACACTAAATGCAAGAGACTCTTGGGTGGGCTTGAAACTCCGAACCTTGCTAGGACTTGCTATCGACGACACAACCTTCCATGAATGTGGCCATGCAATTCCAAGGATGTGGCCTAACACGCAGGACAGGATGATGAGAGGTATTGGGATCCCAAGTGAGCCATATGGCCATGTCAGATATGTTTGTTGCAGCTCTGAGAGCTTTGCAGTCTAAATGCCGAGTGGAGTGGAGGATTTCTTTTCTTTTCTTGCATCACACGACTCACGTGACAGGCTCCTCTCACGTCACTTCGACTCTTCAAGGCATGGGACAAGGCCAGAGAGAACACTGAACACAATTGAACGACTTAGTGCATCTTAGTACTATGTGCAATGGCCTCCAACCTACTAGTGATGGCCTCCACCCTAGTAACAATGGATACACCATGTACTTTGCATTTGCAGCTCTTTGCACTCGCAAGATTTCTACATTGCACTTGCATGGCTGGACAGTGACCAAACATGAGTGTCTCAGCCTTAAACATCAAGCGAAGAGGAACGGTAAAGAAACACTGGAAAACCTATTCAAAGGCTCTCCAGATCTTTTTGCACAGTTCATGTGCTTTCATCTTGATGATTGTGAATGGCATGTACCGATCATGTACTACCTTTTTTCCTCAGATAGCGAAGCTATGGGGTTCTTACTTCAAACAACAATGAGTTGCCCGTGCGTGCTTTTGAGACAGGTTGCCGGTGCCGGTGCTGGTGCTGCGAGCTGGCTGTGCACGTGGTGGAGACAGGTTGCCGGTGCTGGTGCTGTGAGCTGGCTGTGCACGTGGTGGAGACAGGTTGCCGGTGCTGGTGCTGGTGCGCCGGTGCTGGTGCTGGTGCTGGGTGCCGGGTGCCGGTGCTGGTGCTGGTGCTTTGAGCTAGCTGTGCATGTGGTGGAGACAGGGTGCCGGTGCTGGGTGCCGGGTGCCGGTGCTGGTGCTGGTGCTTTGAGCTAGCTGTGCATGTGGTGGAGACAGGTTGCCGGTGCTGGTGCTGTGAGCTGGCTGTGCACGTGGTGGAGACAGGTTGCCGGTGCTGGTGCCGGTGCGCCGGTGCTGGTGCTGGTGCTGGGTGCCGGGTGCCGGTGCTGGTGCTCGTGCTTTGAGCTAGCTGTGCATGTGGTGGAGACAGGGTGCCGGTGCTGGGTGCCGGGTGCCGGTGCTGGTGCTGTGAGCTGGCTGTGCACGTGGTGGAGACAGGGTGCCTGCGCTGGGTGCCGGGTGCCGGGTCCCGGTGCTGGTGCTGGTGCTGTGAGCTGGGTGTGCGCGTGGTGGAGA